ACTTAACACCAGGTGGGCTGTGAGTTCGTCCACCCATCTAAGCAATAATAACAAAGCAGCTTTAGTCGTGTTAATGTAAAAAAAAAACTGTCCTTCGGGATTGAAACTTTTGTCCGAAGGAAAGTTGCGTATTTTTATTAACTCCTGATAATGTAAATGCTAATTTACAATAAACAAACAAAACTTTATTTCTTCCTATAAAAATGTTTACGATTATTCTAATTGAATTTAAATCAGTAATATCCTCAAAAACACTTTAACGTATTGCAGTAGATATTCAGACATTATTTCAAAAGGATCAATAAGATTAAAACGAGGTATCTTAAGCAAGTCTTACATTACCGGCATTACCCCCCCCCCCCCCCCCCCCCCGTCTGTTACTTTCTCTGCTTTCGACTTGAGACGGTCACGTAATTAGTAAGACTTAGTTAATTAATTGGACGCGAGTTTAATTAATACAATACAAACTTCATTTATTTGATGCGCACGTCATACGCTCCGGTCGGTCGGTTTTTTTCTGTGGCGGCTCGTTTCCAGTATTCGTGATCATATTATACTTTTCAGAATTATTTTAAGACGAACCCTAGTCGTGGATACGTGTTCTTAAAGATTCTGTAAGTTTTACAAAAAAACCTTACGTTGATATAGTTAGTGTAGTAGATGACGGATCCTTGGTATATGGGGTAAGTCGGATATATTAGTATCCTAGGTACCGTGCTGGGGTTCTAATTATCTGGCCGACATCGTTTTTTTTCTTCTATAGGTTTTCTCACTTATGTGAAATGTCTATGAGCTCCAGTAAGCGCTTAAAACCAGGTAGACCATGACCTTCTATATCGATCTAAAATTTCAAGAAATAAATAGATCGTTACTTAAGAAGTGTGGAATTTGAGTATAAATACAAACTCCGGATTGAACTTTCTGCTGCGTCCCTAAGCGATGTATTGAACAACAGTGAATAGCTTCCACTAAGTCAACCATGATTGCACCAAATTGAGATATGATTCCACCAAGTCCTATTCCTATCTATTCAAGCAATGAATAAGAAAATTCAGGAAAATTATTTTCAAGGTGAATGCCATTTGGCCTAGTCCAACCAATTAATATAATAAATATTATCGTACTCGGGAAGCGTGTTGTGTAAATTTCATTCATTACAATTTCATTACAATTAGTAAATTTCAACGAATCAAGTAAACAATATTGTTGAATATAATTAAAATAGTGAGCGTGTTACCATGTCGTGACGGCTTCTGTCAATCGCTCGTAATGTTGTAAATGGAATCGTGATTGTCTTACCTCCATTACCTCGGAGAATATGCACAAGCATATTGCAGACGTCTTAGAAATGTATGCCATTGAATGTAGTCGACTTTTTGCTGAATAAATTGCATGATCTCTCTACACTGGCGATGTAACGTCTGTCCCAGATTTATTTTAATAAAAAAAAATACATTGAATTTGTACCAATGAAAAGTATAAATCGCTTCGAAAAAGAAAATATCTAATAAAATGCATGTCATTGTGTTACCGAGCTATGAAATGATAGAGATGATACTCGATATCAGTATTGCGCTTCCTAAATAATAAAAAGGATTTTTTTTCATTTAGTTTCAATTCAAAATAGGTTTAGTTGTCGGTTCCCGGCTACTTGAAACTCTTATCAGTATGTCTGAGAATCTATAGATAAAATTAATTTAGCTAGAGTAAGATTAACGTCTGTTCATCTAGGTTACAACGATTATGATAGTTAACCAACGAAACGATTTAAAATCGAAATCAGTCGTTACGGTCGGTTGCAAATAACGCGGCCAGATAAACCGACAACTGTTATCATAACGTTAAACTCAACGCACTCTAGTTAGCTGCTACATACGCTATTTAATTTTAACGTTAAATTGTAGTAAGGAGAAGTAAACTAATTTAAAAACTGATTCCTTTCAATTCAGTTGTTCCAATTTTTATATTATAATGTATTATAAGTTAAATTGTTTAATTAGTAATTCGATTAGTATCGTCCCGTTCCGGTAGACGAATTGATTGACGACATAGCATCACTATGTTTTTCCAACGATTTCCCTCGCGCGGTAAGCGGCGTGCGCGCCTCCATTGCCAGTCGCTGTGGTCAGCGCGGGAACACGCGCCCAGCACTATTGTTTTTTTTTTTAATTTTGCAATGCACTATGATATTAAAAAACTCTGCCTTAATATTCGACTCTCCGTTTTACGTATTTTCATAAAGTGATTATAGTCGAAAGGATTTTTGTGTTTGTGTTTGTAATGTGGCTGAACTGAAAATGCCTTTGGACATAATGTTTTTGACGCACGATAATTTACGGCGGATGCGTAAGGAGCCGCAAATTTTGGGACTTCGTTATCGGGTATGCTTTTATACTTTATTAGAGTAATAATTGATATTGGGAACTGAATTTGGCTATTATTGATTAGTTGCGTTGCGTCTGTCCCGGGTTGAGTAATTTTGAGTTTACAATTTTTTTAAAACGTATTTTGCTTTTAGTTTACTCCACAACTATTTTCTTAAAAATTGTACCGTTTATATGCGTATTGATACAAAAAAAAATCTGATGGATTGATGTTCCATAAAATTATATTAAAGCGCAAACTTTACTCATCATTCTTTAAAACTTAAAACTCACATATTGTTAACAAAGCTAGAACAATATAGCGATATCTGCTTTGAATTTTAAAGACATAAATGTCAAAGGAAAAAAGATTCTAAAGCTGTTTTTCCTAAAAGCCATTATTGGTTATTATATTATACAAATATTCGACAGTCTTCAATTTAGTATACGTTCATATCCGCACAGATAAAAAAAATTGTGCATTCGGCACCTCATTATTTACTAAATGCAAATCAAATGCAATAGCTAACTCATTATAAAATCACATAAGGTACTAGGCACTCACCCATAGTAATAATATGAAATTTCTGACTATATTCTTCTACATTGGTTTACTATTTCTACAAAACTAGTGATGAGACACTACTACAATACCATCCATTGGTCCAATTCCATTCATCCATTGGTCCATTGTGTTCCAATTATTTTGCTCTTGCGACACTTATGGTAGTCTGGTGGTAGGGCGGCTTGTAAGCCGCACGGGTAGCTACCACTTATTAATGATGTACGGTAAGTATTTTTATTGTTAAGCACTAATACTTTGGATTGCAAGGTAGGGCCATATTAAAAATTGAAATTTAGAATTCGTGCTTCAAGGTAGGTAGCGGCATTTATGTCTATGGGTTCTGGTAACCACTTAACACCAGGTGAGCCATAAGCTCGTCCAACTAAGCAAAAAAAAATTAATTACAACAAAAATGAAATTAGTGAATGTAGAAGCAGTACAGGGGTCTAGATAGGATGTTCATCGCGTCTTTAGAAGCTATTACTAAAATTGTCTGATACCAAGTCTTGTGAGATCGAAGGTTCGCATAACTGTTTTTGTTTTAGTTTAATGGCGAAGTCACCTTCTATTACCTACTTGTAACTGTTCAAATTCAGAGACGGGTATATTTTGTCTGAAAAACCATATCGAAGTGCTCAGATTTTTCAGGATGAAATAGTAAACATTGCGCACCAGAAAGTACCTTCCTATTAATTTCTGTTACTAGCAAATAAAAAGTTACGATTTGGAGGTTAGAATGATTATTACCACTGAAGAAGCTTTAAGCTCAAGGTTTAAAATCACATCACGTTTAAGCGTTCCTAGCACCGATAATTTTTCTCTAAGGTTTCGACGTGCGTCTCAATTCACAGACAAAACCTACTGAGTTTCTCGGCGGATCTCCTCAGTGGATCGCGATTCCGATCCGGTGGTAGATTCAGCGAAGCACTGCTTTTGCTAGGGCAAATGTTGGCAGTCTCAGTCAGGCTGAGATCTGTGAGCTAGTCTACTGGTCCGGTTAAATCAGTCATTGTCACTCGAGTCTACTGAGAATTATGTAGAAAATAAGGCTCAAGACTCGGTAACCGTTGCACATCATCTGGCAACATCCAGAATTAAAAACCTTTGTTGACGATAACATCCTATCCATTTCTATATTTTCGGGATCCACAAACGTCGAATCAGCGACGGCCTAACGAATTATTCGTGACAGAATATCGCTTCATAAATAAAAGATGTAAAAGTAAAATTGTGCGTTTCAGTCGGACAGTGCAAATTAGACACGCGAACTATTGTGAAAACGGTACGCGGATTCCTGTACGCACGTTGCGAAACTTTCGATACGACTAATGTTCCATCCGTCATCACATGAACAATTATCAATGTCTAATTGCTACTCTTACGCTGGTAATGAAGCGAATTATTGCACAAAGTATAGGAAAAGACGTGAAGCAATATTGGTTGAAGTCGTCGTGGCCTAAAGGATAAAACGTCCGGTGCATACGTGTTGAGCAATGCACCGGTGTTCGAATCTCAGGCGGGTACCAATTTTTCTAATGAAATACGTACTCAACAAATGTTCACGATTGACTTCCACGGTGAAGGAATAACATCGTGTAATAAAAATCAAACCCGCAAAATTATAATTTGCGTAATTACTGGTGGTAGGACCTCTTGTGAGTTCGCACGGGTAGGTACCACCACCCCGCCTATTTCAGCCGTGAAGCAGTAATGCGTTTCGGTTTGAAGGGTGGGGCAGCCGTTGTAACTATACCTTACACCTTAGAACTTATATCGTGGGTGGCGCATTTACGTTGTAGATGTCTATGGGCTCCGGTAACCACTTAACACTAGGAGGGTGATGAGCACGTCCACACATCTAAGCAATAAAAAAAATGGTTTCTTTCAAGTATATCATCGGCTATGTAATGAATTCGGGATAATTAATTATCATTACCAAATAAGGGATAACTGTAAGAATTTTTTCTATGCAAGAGCTATAATTGTAATATACTTTATAACGTCTACTTAATACTCAAAATTTATTTATTTAAATAGCCATTAATTAGTTTCTTTCACATTTCGCATTGCAGGGCTTATCCAATGGCATTGAAAATGATCAAAACAGCGCCAACCTACAATCATCAGATCTATCGCACAAAAGAGTGTCAACCGACTCTACAAATTCGAACCAGAGCTACGACTCCAATGTCGAATACGCAGTCCCGAAGCACACTTACAACCAACGGGGACCGCATAGACCCAGTGACGTCAGCGACACCTCAGACAGCATACACTTCAACCAGTCCAAGATCAGCAATCCGCTGTTCGGCGTGAACGCGGCCTCGCAGTACGCGCCCGGTTCGGTACCCGCCCCGCAACTAGAGGCGGTCAACGAGCAGACCAGACATTACGACAGGCCGAACGTGCCGAACGGCGTCAGGAAAGCTCCCGAGGGCCAGGACAACGACCCCTACAAGTCCGAGGACGCTTTAGACGGTAGGAAAGAGTTGATCGTGACACCGAACCAGATCGCGATCACAGACGGAGGCACGGCCACTTACACCACAGACAATAATGGTAAAATCAATGTTCATGTCACCGTCATGATTAACGCAGGTAAATATATGCATCCTTACGAACTATAAATTGCAAAATAACAAGCACATAAATTATTATTATAAATAGCACTTGATAACAATTATATGTATAATAATATAATAACCATAACCAGTTTTGCACAGTGATGGTTTTGAATTTTATGTTCTGAACAAAAGGGCAGCGCTCCGGGTTTTTTTTGAGAAATGAAACGCTCTCGAGGATGCATATTGAGGCAAGAAGTCTCTATGTAGTTGCATGCGTTGTAATGTGTGGCTTATTTTAATTCTTACTCTTCTATTCTGTTCTTTATGTATCTTAGATGCATTGATAAAAAACTTAAATTAATGTGCATTTTTGTTCGTATGTCTTTCCTTGTAGTCTTATGCACTCACTTCTTTATCATTACTAACTTTTCTAAAGCTTTTAATTGTTTATTTTTTTTTTTTTTTTGTAAAATAACGCTGTAGTTACGTTCATTATCTGATTTAAATTTTTCGTTCAATTCCCAGAAATATTAGTAGTTTTTTTTATAATATTAATAAATTTATAAAATTAATGTTTAAAGTATTTTTAATGTTTTAGTGCATAACGCATGCATATTATGTATACTTAGTAATTTGCAATAAATAAAAACAACAGATAGCATTTATACAATTTTTTATGTAGTGCACAAATATTTAAAAAAGTTACGTTTTAGCATCCTGGCAACACTGTCAATTCGGCCTCAAACACGCAACCCTGTATGTTCCAGGCACATTAGCGGACTTAAAGAAGCAACGTTCGCAGATAAGAACCAACGGAAGTCCAGTAGAGAATAGTCTGAATTCAACAAATAATCACAGTATCAGTTCTCTGAATGAAGCAAAGGACATGCCGGTTCAGCTGAATCCTCTGACCCTATCCCCCAGTTCCGGGACCATGCCGCGTTTCTCCGGGAACACCAGTGACGTCGTCGGCGACACCAGGTCTCATAGGTGCTGCGTCATAATGTAGATGTGTTGCAACCAGAGAAAAATATTTCAAAATCGTATCCCCGTTGGAGACAGATTATCCGATATGAGGGCCATTTGTGGACTCTAGCACTGACAATGTAACTGCAGCTTAGGGTAAAGATGGAATATCAATATCAAGCTGTACTGTGCTGATTTAAGCTGATTTTATCGTGCAGTGTTTTGTCATCGCACGTAATCAGATGCGCGCGAGCGAGATAGACGATAATAGCACAATGAGGGACTATACTTAGGCCATTACAAACGTGCGAACTGAGTCATAAAACATTACGTCAAAGGGATGGGACAATGCCGCGCACCTCGATATCGATAAAGGGTTGCCCGGAGTTGCTCGGGTTCAAGTAGTCAGATGACGTGGTCGTTGATGACTGGTACATGTGAATTTTGGGTTGTAGGTGTTTGTAAAAATTGTCTTAGTTATCATTAGACAACCCTACGCGAACCATGGAAGCATTATTCGATAACTTAACTTTGTTAAAATCAAAGGGCGATATTAACACCCAAACTCGTTCGGTTGTTCATTACGTGTTTAACGAATTTAAAAAGTGACCGGAAAAAAATATATTTTTAAAATTTAAATAAATATGTAACGTTTTTTTGTGTAATTATGTTGATTTAAGTTTTATACACGCAACACTAGAAGTGTGAGCGAGAGATCCGATATGCCTATAAGTGTGAGCGAGAGGTCTGATAAAAATTATTTATGAATCAGTTCGCACGTTTGTAATGGCCCAAGTATAATCGAGACGTTTTGAAAAAAAACAGACCCACACAGCGCAGGCGCGTCTTAAATAGAGAACAAGGCAGCATAGCTTGATGTTAATAGAACCAAGTGCTTCTTATACCTCGTCGGGACATTTTGTGTGAATATTGTATCCATGATTTTGTTGTATGCTTGGTAGCTGTGCCACGCCGTATTTCGTTGCCTTTTACTAAAGGATGTGATTTAAAAAAAAAGTCTGATTGTCATTCCAGAAAATTAAAACGGTTATAAAAAAATGTATTTAAAACAAGTTTGAACGACCTAATTGTAACAACGGTGACTCCCATTTTTAATATAGCAAAATTTTGAAATTTTCAAGCGAATTCTAATTTTGAATTAAGTCAAACGACAAAACTTTTTTGCAATTTTGTTGCCAACATGAAAAACCAGTTTTTATTTTATTGCCGATCAAGTATTGCCATTATTGCTCACGCGCAGACGGGCTTGCCAACGGCTGGGAGGGAATACAGTGTGATAGTGTCATAAGAGCTCAATCTTTAATATTTTTAAGTAGATTATACACATGGAAATGTTTTAATTAATCATAAATAATCCTATATATTCAAATAATTATTAAATTTATTTTTAGTTTATAATTACTGTGTAGCTATTCTCCTTTTAGAACATTCCAATTTATTTATAGTTTCGTACGTTTGTTTGCAGTATTGCCTGTATTAATGAATGAAAATGTAAACGGAACAATTACGTAACATTTATTCCTAATAAATAATAATTAAGTGCCTATTGAATCGGAAAGAAGCTCGTCTATGTGAAACATGGCGTTTAAAAAAATACAAAACATTAATATAATAAGTTATTGAACAAATAATGAGTATTTTTATTATAAATTAATTATCTTCGCTTCTAGTTCATAAATAGTCCAATTTATTTCGGGACTTGATTGTTTGTGAAATACGAAGGTTTAGAAATTTTATTGTAATTTATGTCTACGATTCTAAAATAATATTATACTTTTGGAATTCTAATGTTTAACATGTCCTATTTTTCTTCTTGAGAAAACATACCGACTTTAAACATTATAATATTATAATCGTCTTTCGTTCGTGATGATAATATTGTTCATATCACTAGACAGGGGTTGCTTGTTTGGTTAAAATAAAACTATATACTATCTTGTAATATCAGATGTGTATTTGAGGGTAATTCTGAAAACGGTTTCGCGAGTCGTAACAATGTACAAAGACTGGATTTGTTATGTAAGTTTTAACTGTGAATAGGAACTGAGGTATCGCGAAAACAGTGATAACGATTACCTTAGAGATATTCTGCGTGTGTTCCTTGAACGTATTCGATTGTGTAAAATTTATAAATTACTTTTTTAATTATGTGTATTAGTAGAATTTATTTTTGTTTTATATCGTTTCAACATTTTCACTAAATGTTCATTGTTATAATGCTGAACGGTGTATAGAATTTATTTTTGCACAAAGCACACAAAAGAGGTTTCGTTTTCAATTTACGTAATAATAGGAAAATATCGAATCACGGTAGAAACCGCGTATCGATTCAGTTTGTATTCGAGCAGCTGGTAGTTGACGAACCGAAGGGGGCCACATAGCGTTCTTGTCATTTAGTAGGTCGCAATGTACGACGCTAAGAAAATAAAACTTATTTTTTATCTTGTGTAGGCTTTAATCAAAAGTAACGTGCGTGTTTGAATTAAAAAAAGTTTAGTGTCGCTCCCAAATGATAGATGGCGCTTTTTTTCTTTTTCGATTATATTTTGAACGGCTAAATACTCAATTAGTGCCAATTTTTACACTTCGTATACAGCAAGAGAATTTTTGATTGTTAACAAATTTTCGTCTCCAATATTATTTTGCCTGTGAATCATTAAAGTCATCAACCATGCACTTTTGTTAGTTCGTTTTCAGTCAATTCGTAATTTCCACATATTGTGCCATTTCATACTTATAAAATTATTTGATTTCACTAAACTATGGGATAAAAATTAATAGATTTGAAATCGCTGACGTGAATTGCCTTGCCGTACATATTATATTATATTAAATTGCCCGTTTACTGAATTATTTTGCCAATCGTTGTAAGTTGTCAAATTGCACTTTTCCAAACAACATATCTTATCTTCATTTAGAACAGAAAAAAAAAGTGTTCATTATCTGTGGTATATATACTCTTTAAGAAATTGGCAACATTCCATATATATTTTTTCAAATATAGTATTATCTACAGTTTTTTTTTGTATCTAATTTTCTTGTAGTTTTCATATTCTTATTCTAATCATACCGTAAAAATCATTCGTCCATATTTTAGTCACTAGTCTAATTATAAATATTTAAACTATGAAATCATTGGTACTTAAAAAGTACTTAAACGTGTAAATACAAAAAATGAGAAGTAAGCAATACTGAATGGCCTTAATAAAGAAAAGCACAATATATTTTTTCCATAATTATTTTTATTACAGTATTATTATTTTTATTAGCATTTTTAAAAGCATTTTTGGTACTATTGTATCTTATACGTAAGAAGTTCAAATGTAATTTTAAGTTGCTTAATTCGTTCCGTTCCTCACTTTATTTGGTTGTGATGGCGTCGCCTCTTGCCCGGACGTATCAATAACAAATTATTAAAAAAAAAANACAATATATTTTTTCCATAATTATTTTTATTACAGTATTATTATTTTTATTAGCATTTTTAAAAGCATTTTTGGTACTATTGTATCTTATACGTAAGAAGTTCAAATGTAATTTTAAGTTGCTTAATTCGTTCCGTTCCTCACTTTATTTGGTTGTGATGGCGTCGCCTCTTGCCCGGACGTATCAATAACAAATTATTTAAAAAAAAACCTTTAAAACTTTAAAAATATCGATCTCAGTCTAACTTGAGATTCTCCCGTGAAAGTACATAACAGCATCTATTTTTTTTTTCTCATATACATATTTATTTTAAACTTCGTTTTTTATTTAGTGAAATTTCTTGTGAACAATAATTGTGTGCCTGTAAATCAGTCTTGCCTTAATAAAAATTATTCCTCTGTTGTAATATTGTTATCGTGTGATCATATGTACATAAACGATTTAAATACGTAAAATAATTATTAATGTTCAATGTTTGTTAGGAATAGTGACTTGTTGTCGTTGCTCTTGTATATAAGATATGTAATTTAATGGAGGATTTACACTGGACAGTGACTGTCGGCAACTTCACTTGTATTAGCAACTCGATGGCTTAGTTCAAGTCTAGTTTCGTCTCGGTCTAGTGCTGTTTGGAATATGATATTCTTTCGAGCCAGTGATTTTCGGCGTTGAAAATGTGCATTCATATTTCATTATTTTTTTTCATTTTTCTAAGCCACATGTGAACAGCGATATCAAGTAAAATTGGCATCTGAGAGTGTCACAAGTCACTGGATCAATGTAAATCAGCCGCGAACACACTTCAGAACCTTAGTGTCAAATAAATGTGTTCTTTAAACGTTATCACAGCATTTTTGATGGTATTTTATGTAGATTTTCTGTGTGTGAGTGTATTTCTTTTCAATACAATACATTTGGTAATGAATGTACGTCATGAATGTGGTTCGTTCATTTACTAAACTATCATTCTATTTATCATACAATAAACATTCACTCATTCACTCATTCATTCGTTATCGTGGAGTGAGCAAATCGTTAGTATTTATAATGTTCGATGAGTTAGCCTAGTGTACGATATATCAATCGACCTGTCTTATTGAATCGTTATGGGTCCTCGTTTGTTGATAGTTGTAGGATGAGACTTTTGACTTCGATCGTCGTATCTGTTGAAATATAATCGCTGAAAATTTGAAGGCGAAAGTGAAATTTAAGTCAATCGACATCAGAAGAACTCCTTACAGTAAATGATCGGGTTTATGTGGTGACTACAATTTTTAGGTCCAATAATTACCAGAGTTCTTATTCGGAAAATATAGCACAAATATGAAAAAATGCGTTAGAACGAATTATAAAGTGATACCAAAAAAAAATTTAATCCACACACATGAACCGACACGTTTAGAAGCATTCTATCTTATTCTCTTGCAAGTTAAATCTTATAGATGCAATAAATAAATACATTTGACTCATTTTAGTTTGCCTTTTTTTTTCATTTGACCGAATTTCAAATCAAAACGGTGCTAAATAAGTTTTCACTTCAAAATAGAAATTATCGATAAATATAATCGATATAATCCTCTGATGTCGAGAAACATATCGCCGCCTGTATTGTTACTAAATGTTTATACTTTAGGCTATAATCCTTATTAAAAGTAGAATATTAAGAAATTTGTAGGAAATTTTTTAATAAACAATAATGTAGAGTGTCTCTTGCCTAGAATACTAAATTTTAATATCACTTAAAAAATGTTAATTTTATTTAAAAAAAAAAGTACAAATAAGTTTTTTTTTTTAAATAAGATATATCTAATACATTTGAACTGTCTTAGAATAAATGTTTACATAGCAATTTGATTTTTAAGAGGCAATATATTAGAGGTTTATTAAATTGCTATTATCCAAACTTTATGACTATGGTAGATGATTGTCAACAAGAAAACTTGTCATAACTTATTTTGGATTACACGGGCCCGTATCGATCTCAAGGTCATAAACGGAAACTATTGTAATATTTAGATTTATCATTTTGGAAGAAAACTTCCCATAGACGGTCGCGTATAAATAACAATACAGTGGAACAAATCTGAAATATTTATTAAACTGTGAAGAATATATCCGATGTGGCTTTGATGTCGATAAAAAAATTAAATTACCTTGTTACATCGTATTGGAAAGAAGATTTATAAGTAATACGAAGTCTTCAAATAAACTTATCTTGTAGAGAGGTGTCTATTGTTCAAAAGTTCTAGTTTTTTTTTTATGTTGTGTAATTTAATCTATATTTTGTATAATCTGTCTTATTACAATGAGTGAATTTTGAATGAATGAATATTATCTTAAATTTATTGTGATCGAAAATTATTTTCAGAATTATAATATTAAGAAGGTACATTTTACAGCTATATTAGTCGGATCGTATTTTTTTGCGTTTTATTATTAAATTGTATTAATATTTACTTAGCACTGTGTACTTAATCGTAGTGAAACTATTGTTACTTTTATCTGTGTGTGTTATGTAGGTAGGTATATTTACTTTTTTACCCAAATAATGGAAAATAAAAGTACATGAATACAATGCAAATAAATTGCAAACAAGAAACTTTAACTTTTGAACTTTAGATTCAATGAATATACTTAAAAGTTATATATTATAAGAAAATAAATCGTTTGTTTCAATCGAAAATAGTTTTATTTAAATGATATCTGTTAATCCTTAGTTTTTATTATTATATGAATTATGAACGTCTTCCCGACTCAGTGTTATCGGAGCGTTAGCAGTGTTATGACGGGCTACTATTGGTAAGATATTGTGTGAATACGTACGAATAGGTACGTGGTGCTTCACAAGGGATCTTTTTAGGAAGCTTAGTGTCGCGCGAGCTATGGAGAGGGCTATGCTTGGTATTTCTCTACGAGATCGAATCAGAAATGAGGAGATCCGTAGAAGAACCAAAGTTGCTGACATAGCCCGTAGGATTAGCAAGCTGAAGTGGCAGTGGGCAGGCCACATAGCGCGAAGATCGGACGGCCGATGGGGCAGAAAGATCCTCGAGTGGAGACCACGTACTGGTAAACGCAGTGTGGGACGGCCACCTACCAGATGGACCGACGACCTGGTGAAAATTGCTGGGTCACGTTGGATGCAGGTGGCAACGGACCGGCCGCACTGGACATCAGTTGGAGAGGCCTATGTTCAGCAGTGGACAGCAGACAGGCTGAGATGATGATGATGATGATGATGAAGGTACCACAGTCCTGTCTATTTCTGCCGTGAAGCAGTAATGCGTTCTACGCTACGCTAGATCATGATCCTAAGCGAGGAAAAATTATCGAGAGAGCGATGATCACTCTATCGATGTACTTAACATTTTTAAAGCAAAAACACAATCAGGGTTAATTAAAAAAAAATTGTTAGATACCTCTCCATTTTACACGAAATACCTAATAAACATCTATGGGACCCGCAATTATAAGCTTCTCTAATTCATATCATGGTCGACACTACCCATTGTGTTTCTCGTCGTATCTTTTCAGCGGGTCGCGATTCCGATCCAGTGGAAGATTCAGCGAAGCACTGTTCTTGCTAGGTCTAGTGTTAGCAAAATCTCTCAGGTTGAGCCCGTGAGCGAGTTACATATTCATAAATTATCCTTATGTGAAGTGTGAAGAAACTTACATCGATTCCTTCAATAACAAGCGCGTAGAAAGTCATGATGGAGCTTACTGACCGATGACGAGATCTTTCTTAATTGAAACGCTAGCTCTAAAGAAATCATTTTAAATTTAACTATTCCAGGGTAAAAATTAGCATCAATGACTGTGAGCATAATAATTATGTATTTCGACAAATGTCTATTAAAGCAGAGGAAGTGTTAAGTCGATATTTTCAAAGTTTTGCTCAAATTCTACTACAAACACATAGGTACGCACCTACAAACTGACACTTTTATAATCTAGATCAAACGGTAGGTTATAAACAATTCGTAATGGTATGTATTCGTCAATCAAGTAGTCAAATTACAAAATTGACAACATGTTTATAAATGAACTAGCGACCCGCCCTCGCTTCGCTTCGGAAACATTAAAACACACATGAAACCAAAAAAATAAAATAAAAAAAAGTAGCCTATGTTCATCAGGGCCAATGTCGGCTTCTAATGGAAAAAGAATTTTTCAAATCGGTCCAGTAGTTTCGGAGCCTATTCGAAACAAACAAACAAACAAATCTTTCCTCTTTATAATATTAGTATAGATTATTTTAGTAAATTAATGATAAAGTATATTCTACCAAATAATGTAATTACTTGATAAAAGAAAAACGTATTTTTTTTAATTTAGATTAAAGATAAAGGAATTTGATATCGCGACGTCAAGCATTATCTGACAATTTATAATAAAAATAGTTTCGCGTTGAATTATTTTTTTTCCATTATTATGTACCTAAACCAGAAATAAGTTAACTATCGGGACCTTCGATCCTCTAATCTGAAATATATAACAGATAAATAATATGCCTTTAAAAAATCGATCTAGTATAGATAAGTAAGTAAATTCGGATCCGCAAAAAAAGTTTATTGTCTTATCGATTCGTCAAGTTGCGAGCTATCAGTCGATATCGCGGCCAAGTTTACGTGCGTCACACTAGCACAACGACACACTACACGCGCTCTGCGATGACACGCCGTAACACAAACCGTATATTATCTGCTTGAAATTATAACCAAAACTATCATTTACTATTAAATAGAGTTAGCAGCGGTAAAAGCAACTTAGTGTGAACATTTACAGCAAGCTGTTCAAGTTACAAAAGCTGATTTTGAAATAAAATAAAAAAACACAGCAAGTTGATGGAAAACGTACCTATTTCAAGCATGCGGCATACTGTAGTAACGTCTGCTAATTTCAAGAACGTCTGTGAGTGACAGTGCTCGCCGGACCGACGTGTAAAGAAGACGTCTCTCCGCTTCACTCTATAGCCACTACGATCTTCAGG